GACCGCAAGGATTTAATATACCTCCGCCGCTGAATTCCTATCGTTTGTTCAACATGCCGGAGCCTTTTACATGGAACCCTACGTCCACCGTCTACACTGCTCCTTCTTCAGCCGCGGCTCTAACGTCCTGTGCTACTGCACCTTTTTCACTGCCTACCATGCATCATGTCGCGACCAGTTCAAGCACGTTTGGGCAGCCTGGTGTGGCTTCGTTTCTGCAGCCTACAATTCCGTCTTTAACAGGTTACACTAATGCTACTACTCCTTTGGCATCTTTGGCTTCACATTTAGCTTTTTCAACGCCTAATGTGACCAATATTGTCACTACTCGATCGGTTGACTGCCGTTGAGGATTATCTATCATGGTGTACTCAATTCGAATCCTTCCTAGTCTCTCATAATCTTTTTGGGATTCTAGATGGGTCCATTTTGGCTCCGCCACCATTTATATATGATAACTCTCAACGGGAGGTTCCAAATCCGGAGTACCATCACTGGTTAAAAATAGACCAGACTGTTCGATATTCTCATGGAGGTTCATGACCTCAAGGTCTGATACCAGAGTACATGGGCTCTGATACCATATAAAATAATAATTGTGGAATAATGGCTCACCCTAATAGGGTGTCCTTATGTTATATTTATAAGAGGAGAAGAATTATAAATTACAAATATGTCCTGTACTATAGATTATTAATCTTATCATAGGACATAACTCAACAAATAGACTGGGCCTAGCGTTCGGAGCAATAAGTCAAAGAATTGCTTAAAATATTTGGGAATGCATGAAGGCACGAGTCCACAATCTCGTGAGATTTTGGACAAAGCGTAATATAGAAGCAACTCACGTATTAGATCGAACAAAGCGTCTGACATATTATATAAGTAGAATATTTGCTTAAAGTATTTCTGGAATGCAAGAAGGCATTCGTTCACACTCTTGAGAGTTGAGATTTTAGACAAAACGTAATCGTAGAATTAATCAGAAAAATGGACAGAACCTAGCGTTCATCCAACGTGGCAAGTAAAAACACCCTCTGGGAGTAGGAAGACACATTGCTGCACTTTCTTGAGACTTCAAAAAATGAGAACTCCAAAAGTATCTCAATAAATAAATCGAACCTAGCGTTCGACCAACAAAAAAGTGGATCGGAAGGCTAGCACCAAGGTTTTAAATTGCGGTTGCGGTCGCGGTTGCGATTGCGGTCATTGCAGTTGCGGCTAATGCGGCCGCTGCGATGCGTATTGCGGCCGCTGCGGCGTGAATTATTTTCAAATTCGCACCAGAAAAAATTATGGACAGGCGGAGGCGTTGCGGTTTGTTGCGGCACGTCACGGTCAATTGCGGCCTGTTGAGGGATGTTGCGGCGCCGTCGCGGTTACGTTGCGGTTTCGTCGCGGTTACGTTGCGGTTTTGGCCGTGATTCCAAATCGTAAGGGTGTTGCGGGCTGATGCGGTTGCGGTGCCCTCGGCAACCGCAATATTGCGGCCGCAATTGCGGTTGCGGTCCGCAATTTGAAACCATGGCTAGCACCCGGCGGAAAGCTAGCACTAGACAGAAAGTGTGAAGACATAGAAGGTGAGGGATAACACCAAGAGCTAGGAGATGGATTCACGAAGATTTCAACATACTCCCTTGTTCCATTTTGGATAAAAAGAAAACCCATAGGTCAACATAAAGTAAAGCAGGATGAGGGAACACACTAGGCTAGTTCCCCAAGAGAGTTTATCTTTGACAAACAACAATTCGTCCAGAACTCTACTCCTCAAATCCTACCATGATGGTCCAGTCAGTTGCAGATGGGAGTAACTCAGGAGTCAGGACTACTCCCTCTCACATCGAAGGGTCCACCTCAGGGAGTGGGGGCTCATGATGGAATATATTGTCATATACCCTAGGGACCCAGATCAGAAGGTCTAGAACAATTAATGAGAAAAGTTATATATCAGCTAGGCCGAGGCCCTGAGCGAAGGAATTACCAAAAAACGGGATTTCCGCGTCTGACATTCCAAAAAGCGGGACTGACAATTAGGTTACCAAATAACGGGAGTCGGAATTGGGAATTCCGACTGGAGAGTAGGCTTTCGGAAAAAGTAAAAAAATCCCTAGTCGGATTACCCAATTCCGACTAGGGAAAAAATATATATATTTTTTTTATTTTTTCTTTTTCATTTCGAATTGGATTGGATAGGTGGCCAAAAGGAAAAATCCCCTAGTCGGATTAGCCCATTCCGACTAGGGAAGAAGTTATTTTTTTTGAATTTTGTTTTTCATTTCAAATTACTTAGGGTTCGAAAAATGAAAAATTCCGACGACGGAATTTTTTTTTTTTTTTGAATTTTGTTTTTGATTTTGAGTTCCAAAAAAAAAAGTGTTAGGGCTAAATTATATCAATTCGAAATTTAATTTTTTTTTAGATTCATGACATATTTTTTAAAATGAAAACTTAGCATTATGATTTTTTTAGTAAGAAAACAATTGATTGCTTTAAATTGTTTTTTAATACATTAGTATTGTGAATTTTGTTTTAATGGCAATTTTTTTAATTTTAAATGCAATTTTGATTTACTCCATTCGTCTAATTAGATAAAAATTTCGTTTTGTTTTAAGTGAATTTTTTTTGTAATTTTAATGGAAGAGAACAAAACAAATGTAGTTTTCAATATAATTTATTAATGAATAGACGGTACATACAATATGAAATGTAATACTACATCTAATGTTACGCGCTCGGCCCTGCTCCATCACCACCGCCAGTGTTCCAAGGCTCCATTGTGTCTCCATAGTAAAAAGACGAATTCAGAAATGACTCAACATAATCATCCGGGATGACCTAGACCGCATGACTGAGAGTCATGTAGTACATGAAATTTTTACTTCAACCGTACTATTCAGCGTTAAAACACACTATTTTTTATAGTTTTTAAATTGCAAATTAAACTTTTTACAGTTTGATTTCACTCCCTACGCGTCTGAGATGCTCCCGCCTCTCATCCTTAATGATGCTCCGCTTTGGTCGGCTAGAGTCATGCTCATATTTTGCAATATGGCCGAAATGCATTACCCGGATCGATTACTTCGGCAGTTCGGTATAAGGCAAGACATTCCGAATGCTCCTTTGCCGGGTACAATCGTATTCTTGCCCCACTCGTGTCAGGGAATCTTATTCGGTTTCCCACAATCGTATTATTTACACGTGTCACATTTTTATGTAGAAGCAATGCGTTCACGAGGTGTATCAGCTCTTAGCCGACCGCGCGAGTTACGAGGATTGTCAAAAACGACTACGGCAGATGGCCCTGGATGTAGGTGATGAAGATATGCTCCACCGGGGCATATTCCACTATGAAGATGAAGATGCAGGTGGAAGTGACGAGGAGGATGATTCAGATGAACGTGAAGATGGGGGTGAGGACTCACAAGCGCCCCCTCAATTCTCAACACAGGGTGTCTCATTTGATCAACCACCCCCTCAATTCTCAACGCATCGAGGTGGGTCATTTGATCAACCACCGCCGTATTATGATTCTTATCAGTGGTCCACACAACCGGATGATTATGTTGAGTCATTTCTGAATTCGTCTTTTTACTATGGAGACACAACGGAGCCTTGGAACACTGGCGGTGGGGATGGAGCAGGGCCGAGCGCGTAACATTAGATGTAGTATTACATTTCATATTGTATGTACCGTCTATTCATTAATAAATTATATTGAAAACTACATTTGTTTTGTTCTCTTCCATTAAAATTACAAAAAAAATTCACTTAAAACAAAACGAAATTTTTATCTAATTAGACGAATGGAGTAAATCAAAATTGCATTTAAAATTAAAAAATTGCAATTAAAACAAAATTCACAATACTAATGTATTAAAAAACAATTTAAAGCAATCAATTGTTTTCTTACTAAAAAAATCATAATGCTAAGTTTTCATTTTAAAAAATATGTCATGAATCTAAAAAAAAAATTAAATTTCGAATTGATATAATTTAGCCCTAACACTTTTTTTTTGGAACTCAAAATCAAAAACAAAATTCCAAAAAAAAATAAATAAATTCCGTCGTCGGAATTTTTCATCTTTCGAACCCTAAGTAATTTGAAATGAAAAACAAAATTCAAAAAAAAAATAACTTCTTCCCTAGTCAGAATGGGCTAATCCGACTAGGGGATTTTTTCCTTTTGCCCACCTATCCAATTCGAAATGAAAAAGAAAAAATAAAAAAAAAATATTTTTTCCCTAGTCGGAATTGGGTAATCCGACTAGGGATTTTTTTACTTTTTCCGAAAGCCTACTCTCCAGTCGGAATTGGGAATTCCGACTCCCGTTATTTGGTAAACCCTAGATAAATCCCCGTGTTTTGGCAACCCCAACCCCCTTTCCCGTGTTTTGGTAAATCACCCGCCCTGAGCGGAGGGCGACCTCGAACCCTCATCAGCAGCCCGTCCACACTAGACCGAGCCTAATGACAATCACCATAGATATCTCGCTGACGATACTGGAAGAGGCTGGGGGGCTGATCCACCTCAGTCCAGTGAAAGCTCAACATTTAGTCGTTACCCAGACATTCCAGCAAGACACATATTCAAGGTTTACATCACTCAGACTTCCGCTAATGTGGCATATATGCCTAATTTCTAGGAAGGCTTACGTCATCAGCAACATCACCAATATGTTATCAGGATTGACATCATATATAGCACATCAACATGATGTCACTATGCATGTTCCTTAATTTTTTTGGGACACATGTATCTTTCTGACTAGTCTTAACCTCTTTCGGCTAAAAGCTCAAACCTAGTACTGTATTAGCCTATAAATAGTTGTCTTCCCTCTTAGGAAAAAGGATATGAAATTTAGGCGCCATTATTTTGCCAAAATATTAATACAACTTTCTCTCTCTACTTTTGCTCTAACTTTTCTCTAGAATACTACTATCACCGGGTTCCTATATAGTATATACCCATCAGTGTTATAATTATTCATGCACAAAACCTTATTTCTGAACAAAGTTAGTTGCCGAATAAAAGAAAAAATGATTAGTATTTTAGTATAATATATAGATCCCGACAAGTGATTAAGATAATTGATTTCCAAATTGTTAAATGTCTTCGTAGAGGGGTTTTTGCGCATGATTAATCTTAACACATAAGAGTTTGATGAATTTTTTAAATGATACGAGGCTAATGGGCATAATTTATACTTTAACCCGTCCCTTATAACTTTTCCAATTCAAGTTTCACCGACAAGAAGAATAAATAGTAAAAGTGATGTGATTAAAATTTGTCCATAAGAGAGAAATATAGGAATAATTAAAATTAAAGGAAAGTGAAAAAGTTACAAGGGACTAAGAGAGTATATTATGTGGGCAGTTTGGTGCCATAAACCCCATTGCATTTATGCATTATATACGGGTTATATGAATACCAAAGCAGTATCGAAGGAATGAGTAAAAAGCAGTCTAGCTAGATAGCCATCAAACTAAGTAATTACTACTTACTATACATGGCAAATTAAATAAAAGAAAGTAGACATATGAATTAAAGTATACTTGTGGGTGAAGAAAGAATATGTTGTATTTTTGGTCATATAAATAAATCCATTTTTTTGGTCACATTAAGCTAAGATCAAAACAAACAATTATACTGCCAAAAAATATATCCGGAATCAAATAAGTCCAATAATTGAATAGAAGGAAATGGCGGATAAGAACCAGGGAAGGCTACCTCCACCAACTTACAAGTATGAAGATTTGACTCTGGAATGGAGAGTGGATATAGGGCCTAAATATGATACTCTCATCCTTCATTTACCAGATGGTCAGTTTAATTATTATTCCTTTTTATAAACTAGCATGAGGTTAATTACTTTATGTGCTACATGAATAATTGTCCACCTAACAAATATTTGTCGACAATAATATACTTCATTCGTTCCTAAAACAATTCTCAGTATAAGTACATGCATTTGAAGAAAATATGAGTTTTTCTTTGACCTCCTGTATTACATTTTTTAGAGAGGGTAAATGTTAAGCTGGTAGATAGGTAAGTGTTACAACGTATAGTAATTATTACTAAGAGATACAGAGTAGTAGAGTAATTGGTAAAATTTTCTTTTATAAATAAGGAAATAAGATTTTATTTAGTGACATCTCAAAAAATTAAAGATCGTAACACGAAATTTTTTAAGGGAAGGATATATATAGTGTTTAATACATCGATCCCATCTTTTAACCCGAAAATGGATCAAATAAAAATATCTTCTAATTTACAAACTATAAACTCATCTTGGTCATCTGATAACTTGATCTAAAAGACATAGATGGACACTGGTATTTTGGTAATAAAGTCCAATTTTTTTCGAATGCATCACTTTGAACGTTAATATGCAATTGATATTTCATTGCATAATATGTAATACTTTGAACGTTAATATACAATAATCACTGTTTGTACCTGATCTGCCATCCTTTTAAACCTTTTCCAATTTTTTGTAACACACGAAATAATTATGAAGTAAAAATGTTGTGGATGCGATTTAATTACATGGAGAAAACAAGCATAAGACAAATTAGTCATTTGAAACAAAAAGTGTACAATTCACAGGTTTCACAAGGGACCATGTGAGTATAGGCGTTTCAACCAAAGGAGGTTCTCAAGAAGAAGAAGAAAAGTTTATCAACATAAGCGGGCATAAGCTGGATGAAGGCAGCAACAACAAACGGTTGCGATTTTATAAACAATTCAAGGTTTCAACCAAGTGCGACGTGAAAAGAATGTATATGAGATTCGAAAATGACAAAGATTTATTTATATGGCAATTCAAACCCCTATTTGAAGCTACAGATTCCCATACGGCGGCGACAATGGAGCAAGCATTTACGGTGGTGGATGACGTAGATCCGGCCGCCGCTCTCACTTACATTGACCAGTACAACCGTATGTCCTTTAAGAAAGGAGTCGACGGAGACAAAACCCACCCAGAAGCTTACACTCTTACCCTTCACTTTCCTCCTGGTAGGTTCATACCAAAGGTAAAATTGAATGTGTTTATTTGTGGTGTTGTGCATTTTCAAATAGGGGAATGCCATTCATTTTTCCACAAAGTAGAAATTAAACATGTCTTTTTACTTTGAATGTTTTCGTTTGAACGCTATAAAAAGAAGGCGACATGGATGTATAAAAAAGTGACATGTCACTTTCTTTCAGATTGAAGTTTAAATGAGAACTCTCAAATTAAAAACACATGTTTCACTTTATAAAATAATGAACACATATATATATATATATATATATATATATATATATATATATATATATATAGGGAACGGTTCAGGTGAGAATGGAGTCCTAGGAGAGAAATAAGAATGAAATCAGGCCATTGATATCTATGATCTAATGGACATTATAAATGTAGATTAAGGTGTTAATTTTGGACATATTAATGTTGGTTAAGAGAAACGTGTCCATGTCATTAACTGAGCAGGGTATTTTTGTCATGAAAAATATGAAAAAACGTTGCACGTTTGTAGTTCTCCTAAAAATTAGGATAATTAACTCTTCTCTCATTATTAGGATCTTTAATTTACTTATATCATTAAATTGTTTCCTAAATTGTCTTTACGAATCCACCTTTTTTCAATAAAAGTGCATGACCCATTATTTTTATGCATTACTTCAATAGTGCACTATAATATACTTACTTTTCTTCTATTTAACTAAAATATCTTAATTTATATTTGTGCACAATATACACTATTAAGTGCAATGATTGAGATCTTTTTGTTTTAAATACTAATTTTGCATCAATATGTAATTGATGTGCACTAGAGATAATAATTAAATTTGTGCACCTATCACAGTAAATTTATTTTCCAAATTTTATAGATAAAAAGAAAAATCACATTTAAAATGTTAAAGTGCACATTTATAATTTATTAAAAAATAATTGTATTTTTATCTAAATGGGTACATCGGGAGCCATTCCAGTGAGAAAGCACTCGTAGGAGAGAAATGAGAATAATTTTTGACCATTTGGATTTTATTATGTGAAATTGAGTTGTGCATTTAATAAAACTGTAATTTGCATTATGTGAAATTGACTTGTGCATAATAAAACGTAATACTCAAATGTGCATTAAGTAAAATTCAAATGTGCAAAATAAAAGATATAAAATGTCACCTTATTAGATGTTTTATTCTGCACGTTTCGATGGTACCTAATGCACATTATGGTTCACCTAATGCATAATTCAACTTCACATAATGTCATTATGTAATGCACTTTGTGATGCACATTTCAATTTCACTACATGCATTTCCAATTTCACCTAATGCACATTCAATTTACACAATACAATATAACAATCTAAATTCATGCTCATTTTCCCGTAAGGTCATTTTCTGATTTGAACCCAATTTTGGATACATCATCATATAAAACTAGATATAAATTGGTACAGTATCATTCGATAACCAAAGTGTTTTTGAAATGTATACCGCAAACTTTCAATACATGATGCTAACTTTCCAAAATGCTAAAACGGAGGAGAGAAATGTTCTTAATATTGAAATTACAATAATTCAATAAACACATCAAAGCAAAGACAAAGAAAAACAGAGATGAAAAAGATTCGATTGGAGAATGGAAATGAAGGGATATAATGAAACATTCCGAGTATAAAGAATGAAATTAATGCAGCCATGATATGGAAAACTGGTTTGGAAAGAAACGTGTAAGATGGAAAGAGCACTAAAATGACATAGTAGCCCTCTCCGAAATTCACAAAAGATTAAAAGAAATACTTAATCTAACGGCCTAAGATTATTCTCATTTCTCTCCTAAGATTGTATTCTCACATGATATATATATATATATTCCGCTATTGAAAATGCACATTACCATAAGTACTTTTTTGTACTTACTTATTCCCTTAGCCTACGACGAATTAGAAAAATAATTATACCAAGTATTCGAAATACACGTTAGCTTAGTTATAAAAAGTTATTTGATAAAAAGTTATGTTCAACAAATCCTAAAACTAACTCCTCATTTACTAATTTGATTATAATAACATCGGTCCTACCATTATCTTTTTGTACAGTAACTGTAAAATGTCACTAATCTTTTGAGTTGAGCTATTAATTATATATTTATTCATAGAACACCCCGTTAGAATTTTTTTATCGTAGAAAAAACTTTTCATTTCACACCCCAAATTCTATATATAGTAAGAGGTCTAAATTACCATTCACTCAACATAATGAAAAAGCATATTTAGTTTTTTCCTTAATTTTTTTTATTGAAATATATTTTAAATATAACAATCTCATATATAATTCAAGATTTCAGCAATTTTTCTAGCTTCAACCCATTAAGATAATGTTGGCATTAACAATATAAGGAATAATAATATAGTGCTCCGATCCTATTTTGGAATTTTAGAACATTTTTACTCCTCTAAACATCAACTTCTTAACCCACAAATCCTGAAAAGTTTTCATCTTTACTTATTTTGGTTTTTATAAAATTAGTCATGAAATGTTGTTTTGTATTCCTGCACGAAATTGGCCAACAAATTCGATACTAACTACTGTAAATGAATAATATTATTAATCTTTTTACCACAATATAATTGCAAAGTTTACTAGACCTTGTGAATTATTGATAATTTTTTTAATCTTTACCTAAAGTGTACTATACACAAATAATCACCATGGTATCTTCACAAAACATGAGTCATTATTCACTCTTAATTGGACCCGTTCCCTTACATAAAGTGATAAAACACCGCATTTTGTAATCCTTTTTTTACTTATCAACAAATGAAAAACTTCTCATTTCACACATTAATTTCTAATATAATCATAATAAGCGAGTCCAAAGTTAAGCTAAGCTTGTGACTGAATCTACTAAAAAGTTTTTCCTTAACAATATTTCATTGTTTTATTAATAAAATATGTTATATACACTACCCTCTCCGTCCCTCTTATATATGGTCTCGTTTTACCTTTTCGGGAAATCCTACTAAAATTATCATATACCATATTTGGTAAAGTTTGTGTGACTCTAAATCATTCTTACTTTTTTCTTACTTTATTACTCCCTCCGTAACATTCATATCTTCCCATTTTCCTTTTTTGGACGTAACATTTATATCTTCTCATTTCTAAATCTTCCCATCATACCCTCAATAATTTAAAAAATAATACACTACTACACCTACTTTTTTTTGGATTTATCCTTCATTCAATCACATTATTTCACCATTTTCTCATCATACCCTCAATAATTCATACTTCATTTCACTATTATTAATCTCATTCACTTTGGAAGTGGGAAGATATATGTGATACGGAGGGAGTAATTAATATGAAGTACTACATATCAATTACACAACTCCACTTTTCTTAATAGTCGTGTCACTCTCTTCCGTCCCAATATAAAAGGAACGGAGGTAGTACTAGGGAGTATATAATTTGGTAATTCAGGATTTCAACAATTCTTATGTATGTAGATTTAATCCATTAAGACAACTTTGGTATGCATTACCAAAAGAGCTTAATTTTAACCTAATTATACTGCAGGTTTCCAAGAGGATCAAGTTAGAATCGAGTCAAACACATCTTCTCCATATATCTTGATGACCGCACATAAACAGCGGCGAGGCGAGAGGATATATCATTTAAATGAAGTTTATACTCCGCCGTCAAAATTAAAGGGGTGGGTTCGGTTGTACTCATACTTGACGGGTGCTTTTTTTGATGCGTATGATATGAACCGGACTGAGATAAAAATTGAAAAAGGTGCGGCCATTGTTACACTACACAAACCCATCATCCCAACCAATGGCTCTGCACAGACAAGCAAAATGAAGGACGAAGATGATAATGATCACAAGAAGAATGTAATGGCGGAAAATTTGGATGACGGGCCGAAACGCGTCGTTGAAAAAATCGAAATAATGGACGATTATGAAGGCGACGCGGCGGTGGAAACAGCGGCTACCCCAGAACCTCATAAAGAAGAGCCAAGAACGATGAGGATGACGATCATGATTATCCTTTTCGCAGTTGGTGTAGCCATGTTGTTTGTTAATAAAAAAACATTTTACTACCTAATAATTAATAATATTGTGTGAGTTTTTACTCACTTAAACCCAACCCTATATATATATATATATATATATATATATATATATATATATATATATATATATATATATATATATATATATCCTATATGTAAGTATCCTAGCTTCAAGCAATATTGTGTGTGTTTTAAGTAATGTGATATAAGTCCATTGTCCCTTATGTGAAAGTAATAAACAGGCTTAACCAGACTGGTAGCCCCTGAGAGTATATTTATAATGAATAAGTTGCCAAATACAATTAGGAAACTAACTAATAATTAATTCTACACTATTACACCCCTCAATCTATGCAGGAGGAACTATGCGTAGATTGTCACGTAAAAATAAGAACTGCTGAGAAGCCAAACTCTTGGTGAAAATATCAGCTAGCTGGAACTTCGTAGGAACATACTGTACGACGAGATCACCATGAGCCACACGTTCTCGAACAAAATGATAATCAATATCAATGTGCTTGCTACGAGCATGCTGGATTGGATTTGCAGATAAATATGAAGCAGAGACATTATCACATAACAGACGAACCGGTCGATGAATAGGGAAGCCAAGCTCGAATAAAATAGAACGAATGTGTAATGTATCCTGGACTGTGTATGCAATGGCTCTGTATTCAGCTTCTGTAGAGGATCTGGAAATAGTGAGTTGTTTCTTGGACTTCCAAGAGATTAAATTTGGACCAAGAAAAACAGCAAATTCAGATGTGGAACGACTACTATCAGGACAACCAGCCCAATCAGCATCAGAATATGCTGTAACAGAGTGCGGATGAGCGGACTGCTGCAGATGTAAACCATGGGTAATCGTGCCTTGAAGATACCTGAAAATTCTCTTAACAGCCAACATATGTGAAGTACGAGGAGCATGCATAAACTGAGAAACCAAGTGAACAGCATATGTAATATCAGGTCTAGTCATAGTCAAATACTGCAATGCACCTACCATACTACGATACTCGGTGGCATCAGCAAGTAACTCACCATCAGTGAGAGACAACTTAGTTCTGCTAGGTAATGGCGTGCGAACCGACTTAAGAGCATGCAGATGAAAACGGGTGAGAAGATCTGACACATATTTGGCCTGAGATAAAAATAAACCAGAAGAATTTCGCACAGCCTGAACCCCCAAGAAAAAATGAAGATCCCCTAAATCTTTCATAGCAAAATATTTCCCTAAAAGAGAAATAAAATTACTAATAAGAGTAGAAGAATTTCCAGTAATAATAATATCATCCACATAACAAATATATGAGTCGAGTAGCCTGACGAAATATGAACAAAGAATTATCAGCACGACTACACACAAACCCATGAGTCAATAGAAAACTACTGAACTGATGAAACCAAGCACGGGGAGCTTGTTTGAGACCATAAATGGCCTTGCGCAGACGACAAATATGATTAGGAAACTGAGGATGAATGAAGCCAGGAGCTTGACGCATATAAACCTCTTCGGTGAGATTACCATGAAGAAAAGCATTTTTAACATCCAACTGACGAATAGGCCAATTATAGGAAATAGCTAAAGTTAAAACAATACGAACAGTGGTGGGTTTGACAATAGGACTAAAGGTTTCAGAGAAATCAACCCCAGCTTGCTGCTTAAAACCTTGGGCAACCAGACGTGCTTTATGTCGTTCAACAGAACCATTAGAACGATATTTAGTTTTATAAACCCATTTAGACCCAACCACATTTTTACTGGAGGTAAACGGCACTAATTCCCATGTGTTATTAGCAATAAGTGCATTAAATTCCTCAGCCATTGCAGCTCTCCATTTAAGATCTTTATTAGCCATAGAAAAGCAAGTCGGGTCAGGAATTAAAACCGCAGTATTTAAATTAAAAATTGTTTTTGGTTTAAAAATTCCTGACTTAGACCGTGTTTGCATGGGATGATGATTTTGAATGGTAGCAGTTTCGGAGTTTTGTACATTACCACCCTCGGTGCTGGTCCGGGACGAGGAGCCCAGCTCGGCAGAACTGCCCGACACCGCCACCACCGGGGTCACACTTCCAGACCGAAGGTCAGGCGCAGAGGTGGCTGGCGAAGTAGGCTGCTGCCGCGGAGTATCCAACATGCTGGCCCGCTGAACCGCGGTATCCATGGCTGGTACGAGGTCCACCGATGGTGGAGATGCACATGTGTCCGAATGAAAATCCTCCGGGGGCAATGACGTAGCAGTAGCAGGCGGCACTGGTGTGGAAGGACGAAATAAAGAGAGGGAACAAGACGGAAGAGAACCGGACGCGGAAGACTGAGAAGTGACTAAGTTGGAGTAAGGAAACATATTTTCATGAAACCGGACATGACGGCTAATATAAATTTTTCCAGTCCGAGGATCAAGACAACGATACCCCTTATACTCAGTAGCATATCCTAGAAAAACACACTGAACAGAACGAGGAGAGAGTTTATTTGCTGAAGTGGCAGTAAAATTAGGATAACACGCACATCCAAAAACACGCGTAAAAGAGAAGTCAGGAGACTGGTGAAATAATTTTTGATATGGAGAAAAACCAGTAAATTTTGTGGAGGGTAAGCGATTAATAATATAAGCAGCAGTCAAAATAGCTTCAACCCAAAAACTGGCGGGCAGATTAGCATCAATTAGCATGGTTCGCGCTAACTCAAGCAAATGACGATGTTTACGTTCAGCTAAACCATTCTGTTGAGGAGTGTCAGGACAAGATTTTCTAAAAAGAATTCCAGTACTAGTAAAAAATGAGCGCATACTTAAATTATCAAACTCACCCCCTCCATCACTTTGAAAAATTTTAATTTTATGATCCAATAAATTGTCCACCAGACTCTTGAAAGATTTAAAATGAGTAAAGACTTCACTTTTACGACGCATGGGATATATCCAAGTAAAACGAGAAAAATTATCAATAAATGAAACATAATACTTAAAATCCAGAAGAAGATAAAATCAGTGACTGCCAAACATCAGAATGTATTAAAAATAAAGGTTTACTAGCATTATGAAAAACATCTTGAAATGGTAATCTCTGGGATTTACCCAAACGACAGGACGAACAATCATGATTAAAAGAAGACAAACTACATAGTTGACCCGACTTCTTAAGACCATCTAAAACTCTACTGCCACAGTGTCCCAAACGACGATGCCAAAGTGGTCCAGGCGCCGCGTTTGAAAACAAAGCCAAAGGTGAGGAAGGAGACAGGCGAATGTGATAGAGACCAGATCCGCTACTGGAAGCCTGAAGAAGAGTTGCCCCCGTGGTTTTGTCCTTGAGAAAAACAGAATTTTTATCAAAAATCACCATGCAATTATTATCAGCACATAGCTTTTGAATGGATAATAAATTATATTTAATATGAGGAACATGATAAACTGATTTTAATTGAAGAGGGCGTTCCAAGGAATTAATGGAAATATCACCAATATTTTTAATGGGTAGAGTGGTGCCATTGGCAACAGTAACAGTTAGTGGTCCGGAATAAATAGATTTATTAACTAATGTACCTTCCTGAGGAGTCATGTGTGCTGACGCACCGGAGTCTGGAAACCAGACTGCGTCATTAGGCTCACCCATGGGAGCAGCAAGAGCAGGAGCAGATGGCTGGGAAAAACGAGAAGGACACAAAGCAGCAGAATGACCTGGTGAATAGCAAATTTGACAAACAACTGGCGGGGAAATAGAACCAAAGTGTCCATCAACTAAAGGAGAGCCTGCATAGCCATGATTAGTACTAGTACTAAAATAGGGATGCGTATTAAACGATGAAAAGATTGTATTACATAAAACTGAACCTGGTCGTCCATGAGAAGGAGCTGCTGGAGAATAAGCAGGTGGCTGAAAATACCCCCCTTGGGGCTGCTGGCCGGGCCTGGACTGAAAATAGGCTGGCTGCGGACCGTACCCAGGAGCACCATACGCCGGCGGATTCTGCTGGCCGTGCCCTCTGCCTCGGCCGCGGGAGCCTCTCCCACGCTGGCCACGACGTCCTCTGCCCCTATGATTTTGATAACCACCACGCGGTTCATGACCGGGTCCTGCCGGAGCTGCTGGTTGAGCAACAAACGCAGCCGGGGATGAAGCCTCCTGGGAGCGCAAATAAAGAAGACGTTGTTCATGTTCCACCAGCCGTCTCCGAAGCTTATCAAACGTAAGGCCCTCCGGGAAGGAGGTTAAGGTGGTGATTATAGTCTCATAATCGGGACCAAGACCAAGCAGTGTTTGCTCAATAATATCTTTCAGAGACACCGGAGAATTAATCGTGGCAAGGGCTTCAGTAATTTTCTGAATTTCACGCATGTATTGCTCCATAGTTTGATTTTCTTTCTTTTTAATATTATTGAACATGCGTTTTAACTCCATGGAACGAGCCATGCTTGCAGCCATAAACCTGGATTCTAGTTGGTCCCAGATGGTAGCAGACGTTTGAAGTGTATGAACTTCAATAAGTATATCACGGGATAAAGTAGCAAACAGCCAAGAACGAACTGTTTGATCAAGCTTTAACCAGTAATAATACTCATTGTTCATAACTTCAATACGATTAGCATCAAAAATATATTGAGGAGGAGCAGGAATAGTACCATCAAGGATGCCCATAAGACCATGAGAGACCAAAAAAGATTCAAATTGGGTGCGCCAGGGCAGATAATCTTCAACTGTATCAAGCTTGGTGGTAACGATATTTGTAATATTGGGAGCCGAGAAACCCATAGCTTGAGCAATTGCCTCCAAAGAACTGATTCGAGGTGCTGCCTGTCTGCCTATCGGTGCAACCATAGGTGACGGCGCCAATCCTTGCACTCCAGAAAACGTTGGACCGCCAAATAACGGCCTGGAGGAAGATGATGTCGGAATCGAACGTGTGGCTGAGTTCGAACCAGTCGCAGCACTGGTAGGAATTGGGGAGGACCAATCAAACACTGGTGGAACCCATGTGGAGGCATCATAGTTCGAGCTGCTCATCGGAAAAGAGGAGAACATCGGCGGCCTTAAGACAGCCGAAGTCGAGCCAAAAGAGAGAGATAACGGAGCAGTCGA